CCCCAAAACCCCAAAACCCCAAAACCCCACAAGACAAGATTAATTACTATGATTGATAATTTATTTTCAATATTTGTAAATTAATTCTCAATTGTTTTGAATATTGTTGCATATAGACTGCAAGTCTTTGAAACCCTCAAATTGATGAATATAAACAATCTGCTCCAAATTAATTATTTTATCAAGCACATCCCTCTTCAATTGACTAAATGTTATACCTTAATATTCAATCATTCTTTTCTTATATTGAGAACTAAAGGCTTCTTTAAGTAATTCCTTGATAAATTTGACTGAATTATCAATTTTAATCTCAAATTATTTTTCATTTTTGATGCTCTCATAAAAATCATAATATACTTTCAAGGCTTTAATTTTTTCTTAATCAATGATTTGACCATCTGCTCTCTATTTACAATTCTAAATCTCTTTATAAATAGCTTTAAGAGTTGCATTTAATTCCCTATAAGTTTAGGGGATATTTAACTCAGATTCAAGAGCTAAGATTTCAAATAATTCTTCTATATCATCTTTAAAATTATCTTTCTTTTAAGCTTTCTATTTCTTTTAACTGCCATCACTTTCATCATTTTCGTTATTTCCATCATCTAACTCATCTGAATCAGATTCAGAATCTTCCTATTTAATTTAAATTGGCTTAATTTTCTCAATCAATTTCTTTGTTTTTTATGAGTTCAAAAGTTTTACAAGATTTTCCTATGAGAGTATCGCCTCAATAAATACTTTATTTTATTCAAATTCTAATGAGTTATAATTCTAGAGTATTGAACTCATAATAGTTTTGTTATCTTTATAGTTAAATTCATCTGAATTCAATAACTGCTTGAACTTAGTTTTCAAGCCATCAATTATAACTGAGTCATCAATTTTTTCTCTTAAAATCTTCTCCTTTTCTGGCTAAAATTACTCTTCTATTTAATCTCTAGCTATTCTTACCAGATTTACTATCTCAATGATTGTTTATATCTCAAACTAAATAACAGCATCAACAGAGGATAGTTAATCATAAAATTCTTTCAACTAAGATTCATCTTAAAAACCACTTTGTGTTAAGAAACCTTAAAATAAATTAGACCTGCTCTCTTATAAGGTCTTCAATTACTCTAATGACCCTTCCATATTTTTATTGATATTAGCTATTTCCTTGAGAAGATCTTACTTTTGCATGTTAAATGTTTAGCGTTCTGCATCAGCTCTAGCTCTCTCCTTTGCTAATTCTAGTTTTTTTGCAACAATTTCATCATTTCTTTTCTCAGCATCAGTTATCTACTATTTATTAAAACTATTGAGGAAATTCTTCTTTTTATCTAACTAATTTTCTTTTAAATTTTGCAAATTTTAAAAAGTCTATTTAAGATCCTCAAATTTTTAGTCGTACATCTGATTATAAAAATCTATTTGCTTATTATAGTCCTTATTTTCTCTACTTAATTGCCCCTCAAGAATTGCGATTGTTTATTCAGGGGATTAGGTTTGTTCTAAGACGATTGAGATTTGATAAAATACTTATCTAAGTCCTTTTAGGTCTAATGCCTCGTAAACATATTCAAAGCTTTGTTCTCCAATTTGCAATTTTTCTTTTTAATTATTGGCTACTTTACTTAATCTAATAAGATTTTATCTGTTGTAATCTCTGCCAAAACCTACTGCCAAGAATATAGTATCATCTCTAAAGTCATTAATGGCCTGTAGTAAATTTATGGAACTATCTAAATCTGATGGTATGCCATCAGTCATAAATATGATAAATGGGCTTAAATCTCTAGAATCTTACTATATTAAGCTCAGAGCTTAAGCAAAAGCTGGGGAATATGCTGTACCTCCACCAGACAAATGAGGTAGTGGCTGAATATTGCCAGCTTTTTGCTTTGTGCATATCAATTAAGAGTAATTATCAAAAAGGATAACTGAAAACACATGAGTTGTTCCATTGAAATCACATGTTTAGATAAATTCTTCAAAGATTGCTTTCACACTACTCCAGTTTTATTCCATAGATCCACTTTGATCAATAATGGCAATAACATGATAATTTTATTACTTTATTTGTCTTTGAGGTACACTGTGCACTGTTTTGACATTCGTTACTTCACTATTTATCTTTTCAATCTCTTATTTGATTCTCCTGTATATGAGTTCTTTTCTCTCGTTGTGACCGATTTCAATAACTTCATATTATCTTTGCTTTTCATTTACTAGTTCATCAAATTTATCAAACTACAGCTTAAAAATATCAATATCTCTCAGTTATTCTTCCCCGAACTTTTCTTGCATTTTTTATATGTCATCATGCAGCTAATTAAGAACTTTCTCAAGGGCTTAATCTTCATTCTCAAAATCTTATAGTAACTTCATATTTTGAATATTTTCATTTTCAATCTGATATAATTAATCTTGTAGTTTTTTCTGTTATTTTTTCTATATTCCATAAACATTATGATTGAACTCAAATAATCTAGTGAAATTATCTACATTATCTGAACTGATGATATGTTGTCTTAGTTTGAATATCTAGTTTTCATTTCTTAGCGCTTTGAAGTATTTCAAAATTTCAGATAATTTTTCTTGACATTTACCTAAACTAGATTTCAAGGTTTCAAGTTGTTCCTTTTCCTTATCATATTAAGAAAAGGTAAAATCTAGGCTCTTTGAAGTTAAGTCTCTCTCCATTGTCTATGAAATTCTTGTATAAGTCGATTTTAATTCTGAAAATAGGTTATTTGCAATTTGTAAATCTTCAAATAGGAGCTTTTTACCACTAAATATCTTCTCAATAAAGTTTAAAAAGTCTTGAAATTGGGCTTAATAGTTCTCTGCAATAAAAATTTTAGATGGTGCCACTTACTAGAGTCTTTTTATATCAAGATAGTTCATCATAAATCTCTTATTTTTTTAAGTAATCACTATTTACTCATTTGCTTCCTCATGATTCTTATTTTCTTATTTTTACTTTTTTTGCTTTTAATTACTTTCATTTTATTGAGGAATAAATTTGGCCTTGATATCAGATAAATATTCGCTTCTTTCACAGGATATTGCAATTATTTGTTGCCCTTCAGGAGCTTGCTAAACTATAACCTAAGAATTGAAAAATTTCTGATTGAACTCATCACAATCAACTACTTCTTAATGAATGATGTTTTCTACGTTATCTTGAATTAGAAATTCGAGCTTATGGATGAGTCCTGAGTCAAGATATGACTTTATTGATTTGATAGATTGGCTCGAATCCAAATTGATCTCTTTTTTACCGTAATATATCTAGGCCAAAAGTCTCTCTTCAAAAGTGCTGATTTAATCACCATTGTAAACCATACAGATATCCTGGATGTAATCTTTACCTTTGTAAATTTCAATTTTTGTAAGTTTGAGTTTTTATTCTAAGCCATATAATGAAGAGTCAAATGACTGGATAACTTATTGCATTTATATCAAATATTTATTTCAGTTTCTATTAAATTTATTATTTTATAGGTATCTCATTTATTTTATTAATTAACTATGGTGGGGTTTTGGGGTTTTGGGGTTTTGGGG